GGAAATATTCTGGAGGAAGACCAGAGGGATTTTGCGTTGCGCGCAGAGCTCGATGAAGTGTGCTCCTTTCAGGGATGATTCGGAGAAAAGGATACCATTGTTGGCGACAATACCGACTTGATGCCCAAAGATACGAGCAAATCCGGTGACAAGCGTCGTGCCGTAGTCCCGCTTGAATTCGGCAAACTCACTGCCATCGACTATACGGGCGATGACTTCGTGGACAGGGATTTGGCGCCGGAGGTTGGTGCCCACGATGCCGTTGAGCTCCGTTGGGTCATACAAGGGCTCTCTGATGGCATCACTAGGAATGTCCTTGAGAGGAACGGTTGTTTTGGGGTAGTTGAGGTTGGAAATAGACCTCCGGGCGAGAACAATAGCATGCGCGTCGTCAACAGCAAGATAGTCTGTTACACCTGAGATTGTGCTATGGAGTTGACCGCCGCCAAGGTCTTCTGCGGAGACTTCCTCGCCTGTAGCAGCTTTAACGAGAGGAGGGCCGGCCAAAAAGATAGTACCCTGGTTCTCGACAATGATGGTCTCGTCGCTCATAGCCGGCACGTAGGCTCCACCAGCTGTGCAGGGACCCATCACGACGGAGATTTGCGGAATGCCCAGAGAACTCATGCGGGCCTGGTTGAAGAAGATGCGGCCGAAGTGTTCCTTGTCTGGAAAGACATCTGCTTGGTGGGGAAGATTTGCACCGCCAGAGTCCACGAGGTAGAGGCAGGGAAGCTTGTTTTCTTGAGCAATTGCTTGCGCACGGAGGTGCTTCTTGACCGTGATTGGGTAGTATGTGCCTCCCTTGACAGTGCTGTCATTGGCAACGATCATAGAAGTAACACCTTCGACCGTTCCAATGCCCGTTATGATGCCACCTGCGGGGACGTCGTCCGAGTAGACATCATGGCCGGCGAGTGGAGAAAGCTCCAGGAACGAGGTGCCTGGATCAATGAGGGCGGTAACTCTGTCGCGAGGGAGCATTTTCCCTCTGGCGATGTGTTTGTCCTTGGCTTTCTGCGGCCCTCCTTGGGAAATTGTGCTGTGGAGACTGGCCATCCGGTCGAGGAGTTCCTGCATTTGCTGGGCATTCTCCTTGAAATCTGAGGATGACGTGTCCACTGCTGTGGGGAGAGCCGATATGGCGGATGCATGATGAGGATGCGTATAGCTGGCAACGGATCTAGAGAATGCAAGGAAAGGCGTTCTCGTCGAGGGTTGTCGCACAGGTAGACAGCGGGAGGGAAGGGCGGGTTGTTTGGATCGCAAGCTCCGCAGGAGCGGAGACGGAGCACGCATTGCGGGGATGTTGGAACTGGATGATCTGGGGATACTCGGGGGTGTAGACAAGAACGTATTTGGGGAATATGACTTATATGCAGACTACACCATGGCCGGTGCAAGCCGAGGAAAGCACACGAGGTATTATTGTAGTTGGTAGTGGATGAAGACGATTGCAGACGCCGAAATGGCCGAAGCAGGCAAGCTGCAGGTGACTTTGCCTGCCTTGAGAAGTGCGGAGAAGGGCGGCGATGATTGCCGCGGGTAACCGTGCTCATCCCCGTGTTTATCAACTAGTATGCACACCGTCATCCGAGGATGCATGATTCCGCCCGTCCTAGCTGTCAAACTTTCTTCTTCTTATTCTCAATTTGTGGCATTCATCGCTGAAGAGCTTTGTCAATTACCCCCCAGTGTGTATTCAGCGCTATGGCTACATTCCAGAAACTCCCATTTTTCCTCCGCCAGTCCTCTCGGACTCTGGCTCGATGCAGGAAACCCCTCATCCAGCCCCCCGCACTTCGCACTTTAGTGATGAAACACCCTAAGGACTTTGTCCCTCCCACAGAAGAAGACCTGTTAGAGCTTCGTGAGCGTGTACAGGAGTTTACAAGTATGTGGATTGTCCTGCGAAATGATGTACTTGGGATATACTGACTCCCGTTTGCGAATCAAGGGCGCGAAATTCCCGAAGAAGTTGCCGCGCAGACCGACGCCCAGAATGAGTTTCCTGCAGAAATGTGGAAGAAGCTGGGCGAAGCTGGGTGAGTGTTCATATTATAAGTAAGCTATAGATTTCAATTCTGATTTTTACAAGGTTCCTGGGTATTACAGCCAACGAGGAGTATGGTGGGCTAGGGATGGGATACCAGGCTCACTGCGTCGTTATGGAGGAGATCAGTCGCGCATCTGGTATAGCTCTCCTGCCATTGAATGGTTGACAAAGGCAATCTAATTTGTCTCAAACAGGAAGCATTGCCCTCTCCTACGCCGCACACTCCCAGCTTTGCGTCAACCAGCTCTCTCTCAACGGAACACCCGAGCAAAAGGAGCGATTCTTGCCTGGCCTCCTATCAGGTGAGAAGGTTGGCGCACTGGCGATGTCCGAACACTCTGCCGGATCAGACGTGGTCAGCATGAAGACAACAGCCAAGGCCGTTGACGGTGGATTCTTGTTGAACGGGACGAAGATGTGGATTACCAACGTGAGCTTGAACTGCCTCCATCCCAAACGAGACACAAGCACTAACCAAGGCATACCCCTAAACCATCAGGGCCCCGACGCAGACTTCATCGTCGTCTACGCAAAGACCGAACCCGAGAAAGCCTCCAAGGGCATCACAGCCTTCGTAGTGGAAAAGACATTCAAGGGATTCTCCTGCGCCCGCAAACTCGACAAGCTAGGCATGCGCGGCTCCAACACCGGCGAGCTTGTCTTCGAAGATGTCTTCGTACCGAAGGAGAATGTCCTCGGAGAGGTTAACCGCGGCGTCAAGGTCCTAATGGAGGGCTTGGATTTAGAGCGTCTTGTTCTTAGCGCTGGTCCGTTGGGGTACGGCCTTCATTTCTTCTTGTGCTCCCTGCATTGCCTACCAACACTACTGACACATAACAGTATCATGCAAGCTGCTCTCGACCTCGTCCTCCCCTACACCCACGTCCGCAAGCAATTCGGTATGCCCATCGCCCACAACCAGCTGATCCAGGGTAAGCTGGCAGACATGTACACCAAGCTTGCTGCCTCTCGTGCCTACACGTACGCCACGGCCCGACAGATTGATAACTCGGCTGCGGAAGGATCTGGGGCTTTGATTCGGACGCAGGATTGTGCCGGCGCGATCCTCTATGCAGCGGAACGGGCGACGGAGTGTGCGCTGGACGCGATCCAGCTGATGGGTGGAAATGGGTACATCAATGAGATTCCTGCGGGACGGTTACTACGCGATGCGAAGCTGTATGAGATTGGAGCTGGGACGAGTGAGATTAGACGGATGGTGATTGGGCGTGCGTTCAATCGGGAATTTGCATAGAATCCGTGCTACATATACCAGCAAGACCTACCTGATCTATCTGACTGACCGGTTACGGGTTAGATACCAAGGATGTAACAAGTTGTATGTTCGTGTTCTCATGTACTCATTTCTATACACAGTGAAATCAATTACTTCTTGTTTCTGGCCGATCTCCGCACCGGACCTGATGGCGCGGGATTAGGGGCTTTGGCCTCGCCGACTTTCTGGGTTGCGACGCGTTTAGATCTCGTCTTACTGGTTGCTTCAGGGACAGGTTCGCTTTCTTCTTCAGCCTTGCGCTTGCGGCCTCTTGTTGCTGGCTTGTCTGCCGATGCAGCAGCGACACCGTTTGGTTTCGACTTGGGCACCTCAAGAGAGTCAGACGGCTTTATACCATCGGGAAGGTCCTGAGTACCTTCCGTAGTTCCAGTCTCAACCATGTCCGTGTCACCGCCAGCAGCAGGCACGTCTTCCAGCGTACCATTGCCCTTTTCGCTTGACATCTCCACCTCCACCCCGTCCTCGATATCTGCATCCTCGCCCTCGTCTGCCTCTACATCATCGGCGCCATACAAATCCACCACTTCCGGTGCACCAGTTCCTCTGCGTCCCGCGGCGTCTTTCCTAACCCTAGCTCTTCCAATCGCGGGGTTCGAATTGCGGAATACCTCCCGCCAATTCTTCAACAGTGCGACCTTCTCTCCCTCACCAGGCTCATGCAGCGCAATTTTCAGATCGTCAGCGGGGCTTTTCCACACCACACCCTGGAATGCTGCGATATCGAACAGACCCTTGGAGGGGTGCTTCCAACTGCATTTCGTGGGCGGAATACCTGCGGAGAGGGTCTTTTGGGCTAGAAGGGCGTTGAGGGCACGTTGACGTCGGACTGCGGTCGGGTCTTGGTCGTAGTAATCGTCGGAAAGGTCGTCCCAGTCGCTGAAGAATTCTTCAGCTTCGAGGGCCGGGTCGTCATAGAAGATCAAGTCATTTGTTGCGGTTGCTGTCGCGGCGAGATCGTCCTATAGTATATTGCTGTGTTAATTTTGGGTCATCTGAAGGGATTGGGTTGGGACAGAGGTATAAGAGGTGGAAGAAAAAAGGGGGTGGAGACGTACAGCGACAGTCGGATCGGGTTCTTCTACCCAGAAGATGTCTTCGTCATATTCATCATAGTAATCTTCGTCATCAGACATGGTTGCCGACGTGAGAAAGTATTAACGTGGTGAGGGTGGTGAAAATGTAAGCAAAATCGGGGATGTGGCCGATAGCGAATGAATAGGGAAGTAAACGATCGCACAACACAGCAAACAGAAGAGAGAGTTCAAGACAAAATCCAATGGAAAGCGCTGCAATAGGCGACCACTTCAACACAATTAAGGGTAGGTAAACTCGAAGCGCAGATCAAAAGCCACTCCTCAGGCACGGCGCAGGACGTGATGCAATGGTCTGGCTGGCTGGAATCTTGAAAAAACCGGCGGGTGGATCTCACCCGTCACGTGCCCGCTGCTTCCCCGCAGCTGCGCTTTGCGTCGGCTGAAGGGGTGCGTTGCAGCGCCGTACAAGAAGCTCGGCTGGGGGAGCTTGGTGTCATTCCAAATCCATGTCACTCGTACTTTTGGATATGCTAGCTGCTTTATGAACGTGCCCTTTCCCTGTGGTGTTGGATCATCTTTCGTGGCACTCAACTGATCAGCCGCCTCTCTTACAATGCCGCTCTCCTCTCTTCTCCGCACTTCGTCCCGCCTGGGGCCGCCGGTAGTTCGAAGGTTCAGAAGAGCGGCCTCCACTGTGTCCACCACGACGCCCAAGGCTGAGAAATCACTGGACTCTATTTTAATCGCAAATCGAGGAGAGATTGCGCTGTGCGTCTGAGCCCTGAGGGTAGCTTTCTGGTAGTTTTGTTGATTGTCAGTACTAACATTGGGTGATCTGTTGCAGTCGCGTTGGACGGACCGCTGCTCAACACGGAATCCGAGTAACGACGCTCTACACCGATCCGGATAGCAAGGCTCAGCATGCGCTGAGCTCGCCATTTGCCTTCAACTTAGGATCCGTCTCCGCTTACCTCGATGGAGATCGAATTATTGAGATTGCCAAGAAGGAAGGCTGCCAAGGGATACACCCCGGTTACGGCTTCGTGAGTGCTGTCGTTACACACAAGCTGCGAAGATACTAATATTCCCAATCCCGTTTCAGCTGAGTGAGAATGCGGCATTTGCGCGGAAATGTACAGAAGCTGGATTGGTCTTCATTGGACCTCCTTGGAAGGCTATCGAAGACATGGGTGACAAGAGGTAACATGATGAACGTACTCTTGTGAGCATACACTGACAGTCATAAGTCAATCCAAGAAGATCATGACTGCTGCTGGAGTACCGTGCGTACCCGGTTATCATGGCGACAACCAGGATGTCAACTTCCTTGAAGCCGAGGCCGACAAGATCAAGTACCCCGTGCTGATCAAGGCAATCAAGGGCGGCGGCGGCAAAGGAATGCGCATCGCTCATACCAAAGCCGACTTTCAGGCACAGCTGCAGTCTGCCAAATCCGAGGCTATGAATTCATTCGGGGACGATCACGTACTGGTGGAGAAGTACATTACCACACCCCGCCACATTGAAGTGCAAGTCTTTGCAGACAAGCATGGGAACGCTGTTGCTCTCGGAGAGCGGGACTGTAGTATACAAAGAAGACACCAGAAGATTCTTGAGGAGTCGCCTGCTCCGCACCTTCCCGATGCAACAAGAAAAGATATCTGGGCAAAAGCCCGATCTGCTGCGTTGGCTGTTGGCTACGAGGGTGCTGGTACCGTGGAGTTCATCTTCGACAATGATACTGGCGAGTTCTTCTTCATGGAGATGAACACTAGACTCCAGGTGGAGCATCCCGTCACCGAAATGGTCACCGGTCAGGATCTTGTGCACTGGCAGCTCAAAATCGCGGAAGGCGCCCCACTTCCCCTAACCCAGGAAGATGTGGAGGCTTTTATGGCCAGTCGCGGTCATGCTATCGAAGCTAGGATTTACGCTGAGAACCCTGACCAGGGTTTCATTCCAGACTCCGGCACTTTGCTCCATGTCCGCACTCCCGCCGCTACTGATGATGTGAGGATAGACGCCGGATTCGTCGCAGGCGACGATGTCTCGGCACATTATGACCCCATGATCGCAAAACTGATTGTGAGGGGCAACACTCGCGAAGAGGCGATCCGCAAACTTGCGAATGCATTAGAGGAGTATGAAGTGGCGGGTCCAATCACGAACATTGAGTTCCTGAAAACTGTCTGCAGAAGTCCTGATTTCATTAGCGGGAATGTGGAGACCGGCTACATTGAGAAACATCGCGAGGAGCTATTCACACGGGAGGCGATTGAGCCCGAGGTGTTGGCACAGGTGGCTCTGGCCTGTCTTCACCACGATTCGAATCCGGGAAGTGGAACGCAAGCCAACTTTGAAGGCTCTGCCGTTGGCTTTGGCCCAGGATACCAGGCACGACAAATCTCACTTGCAGAACTAACACCGGGAACAAAGAACGACTCCAAATTTGACGTTAGGGTGCAACAGACGGGTGACGACACATTCAACGTTGATGTTGGGGGACGTTTATTCGAGCAAGTTGTAAGCCATCGTGATCCAGCTTCGAAAGTTGTAACCTCCTTCTTCCCTCACACACGCCTGGACACGACGGTGATCCGCGATGAGGACACGATCATCGCTTTTCAGCGGGGTACCCAATACCGCCTAACGATCCCACGCGCCAAGTGGATGGAGAAGGCGTTGGGAATGAAGGACGTCACGAACAGTGTTCTCGCACCGATGCCATGCAAGGTGCTGCGTGTGGAGGTAGAGGCAGGCGAGGTGGTAGAAAAGGACCAGCCACTGGTGGTGATTGAGAGTATGAAGATGGAAACAGTCATTCGCAGCCCACAGAGGGGCACCATCTCCAAGGTGGTACATAAAGCAGGAGTAAGTCACGCGGCCCCTGCCCCTTCCCGATCATGACCCCCCAGCACCCCTGAAGAAGACTACCTCGTCCCGAGACTGGGTCGATCTGAGCCTCGCCATGCTGGAACAGCCCGGGCTCGGCCTGCCAAGGGACATCTGGGTTCTCTCTTCAGCTCACAGGCATTGCTCCACTCCAGCTGTCAACACGTATATTTCAATGCCTGCTATTGCTAACAGGTACTTTACAGGATCAATGTAAAAGCGGGACACCGCTGGTTGAATTCGAAGAGGGCGGTGAGTAAGCGATACGTGGTTCAACTCTGACCACGTTGGGGTGACCAGAATCTGGGATCTTTGTGGCATGTACACCGGTGACATGCATGCCATGTGGACATGTAATCAGAATATATGTTTTGAGCGGTCTTTCAATGACGGACAATCTGACATGTGCAGCGGTTTGACTACTTGCATACTCAATCTGTATAACCTTCCGTTTGCAACTGCACCACGCATACAATGCATCAAAGAAAACCACGAGTCTAGACTCTACATAACACATTTGGACAATTTAACATCAGAGATGGCCCGGGCCTCGAGTCGAGCTAGCTGCGATCCCCGACCCATCAGTCTCCACACTGTACCCACCCGTCACTGTTAGCGCACTTGACCCGAACAATACAACCTAGTTGAAAACTACTTAGTATACAGTAGATAGATAGTGCACAAATAACGAGTTCACCGATCGACTCAGCTGACAGTATCGAGCATACCAATCAGGCTGGGAGGTATAGAGCGTAACGAAAACCAATCAGCTGCTCGGGGTCGGATCAACTCAGACCAGGTCAAGTTCGGAGGTACTGCACTGCCAACATTGTTTCTCTGTGCGCGACAGCGTTGCTATTTTCGATTTTACCATTGCAGAACTAATAAGATCTGTAGATGCGTGATCGAACTATTTTTTCCCTATCTTGCAGCTGGGGTGTAGGAATACTTTTGTACATTCTATCGAATAGTTTCTAACATGAAGGAGGAATGGGGGATAGAGCGGCATTCAGGCAGTCCGATGTGTGTTGTGAGGTACTAACTCCCAATGTAAGTTTTGTCCTAACCATGGAAAAAAGCTGGGGTAAAGCATATGACTAGTGTACCTGATCCCAATTTTAGGATACTCAAACCAAAATCCAAACCATAGGGTAGAAATGCAATGACCTCGAAAGGCGAGATACTGATCATGTGGTCAAGTGAGATTAAAGACCCACACAATGTATATGAGGCATGCCGGTACTTGAGTAGCGCCTTGTGGCCCGACGAATTGAGTTTGACATCTCGCATCATCCGTAGTGGCTACCGCTGACAACTTCAGGTGCCCAATGCGCACCGGGAGCTTCGGGACTTCTCCCGGTGAGTGTGTTGAAAGGAGGCAGTGTCTATGGGGTGGTTGGGCCTATAGCGCATGCCGATAAGAGACAAAAATTTGTAGAGAAATGGAAGGAAAGCCAAAGAACTTTGAAAAAGGTATCCTGATACCTGGGGTATTGATAGCAGTGGCGTAGGGGCAAGTCACGCGGACTGCAAAGGAAGCTTGCAGCTCCAGTCGGGGAGCAGATCAGCGTCCGATCACTGCATGGCGATTGGGGCCTGGCCCTGGCCATCATCGGCGCCTGACATCACTTTGAAACAAGTCAGAGAAAATTACGGAGTACACGAGCTGCAAAATACACTGTCACCACAACTTCCTGACAGCAAAGCTGATCTGACTGGTTTCTTCTCGCTATCTTTGGCGGATCCCAGTCTCTGCAACTCGCAGCTCTGCCTCTTCGGAGCCTATTCTATTATTGTCATGGATGTCCTGCTAAATCATCTACCGAAAGGTACTGCTTCGGGTTCTTCTTGACGTTTCTTTCGTTACTATCTCTATGTTTTCCTGATTTGCCGCCGCGGGGAAACATTGCCATCGTCGACACAAGGGAAATTCTGGCCATTCGAGCCTCTCCTTCTCATTTGCCTGGACCTAAGGTAGGCTCCACCACACCTTTTGTGACCAAATAATTCTGTGTGAAAGGTAAGTCGGATATCATGTCCTAGCATTTGCCTCCTACAGCACATGCTTCACTCAGCCATCACTTCATTCCCTCGCTGCAGTTGAGCACCACTGATGCCCATTTGATAGTAATTGCAGAGCTTGCTTGCTTTCCTTCACATACACAATGTTCAGACTCAACATCGTCCATCAAGCTGCCAAAGCACTGTCTCAGTCACCACGGCCCGCTGTGTTGGCAGCTACAAAACAGCGATCTTTAGATATCTTTGTCCGCTCACTCTCATCGACGACTCTCCGTTTGAACAAAGACGATGATATCAAGAAAGACCCCTTCCTAACAGCGACCAACAAAGCTCCTGAGGGCACATTGGGAGAGACAGAGGGTCGTTTTGCGCGTACGGACGAGAATGTCAAGTTTGAATACCCTGATGACGAGAATATGCCTCGGTCTCCAATCGTTCAGGGCCGTGGTGGTATGCATTTCAAGCGTACACTGGCTCAGTTTTCGCTCGAGAACAGGGTTACTCTTGTGACTGGTGGTGCTCGTGGCCTGGGATTGACCATGTCCCAGGCAATTGTAGCTTCAGGATCGGATCTGGCTATTGTTGACCTGAATAGTACGTGCTAAGCATACCAGGACAATCACTCGAAATCACTGACATAACTCTAGGAGAGGAAGCGCAGGAACAGGCCGCAAAGCTCGTGGAGCAATTTCAGAAGGAGAATCCGGGTCTTGAATCTGATCAGTATGTGGTTTTATCCAAGCAGAAAAAACCAAGACGCTGATAGTTCTTCAAGATTGCCCACCGTCACCGCTCACTACGCCGATGTGTCCAACCCCGAATCTGTGAACAATGCCATTGCAGAAGTCATTGAGAAACACGGGAAAATTGATCACCTTGTTACCTCTGCTGGGTTTACTGAGAACTTCGACGCGATCTCATATCCTTACGATCGAATGCAGAAGTTGTGGGGTGTCAATGTGGATGGGACCTACTTGTTTGCTACTGGAGTCGCCAAGCACCTCATGGAGCGCAAAGCACCGGGCAGCATCGTCATGATAGGTAGCATGTCTGGTGCTATTGTTAACGTTCCCCAGCCTCAAGCTCCTTATAATGCAGCCAAAGCCGCTGTCCGTCATCTTGCCTCTTCTTTCGCCGTTGAGTGGGCCCAGCATGGCATTCGCGTTAACTGTATCAGTCCCGGATATATGCTTACTGCACTGTGAGTATCCGTATGCGTTGCTTTTCTGGAAAGCTGCTAATGTTTTCTAGTACTCGGAAGATCCTCGAGGAGAATCCCGAGCTCCGCGATAAGTGGATATCTCTTATTCCCACTGGCAAGATGGGTACTCCAGAGGACCTGATGGGTGCTGTTACTTTCCTTCTGAGTGATGCTTCCCGCTACGTTACGGGAGCTGATCTCCGTGTTGACGGTGGCTACACTCTGACTTGAAATACAACTGACTGTAGCGATAATATTTACTGTACGAGATATGGTTTGCACAATATGAGATCTTCTAGGGACATGAATTATTGATGAAATGAGCTTGTTCTTTAATATAATGAGGCGTGTGATCTATGCATTCTCGCGGTATTCGGCCCGGGATCCTTTGTTCTTCTAGTATACACTGTTTGTGACAAAAATGTCTTTTGCTACGGTGCTCATTATGATGGAGTTTGCCATGATATCACAAAGAGAGACAATAAATCTGTTTTACTGTGCAATTAAACTGAGCAACAAAAGACTGTAGGTAACGGATACCTGCTTGAGGAAATTATAGATGAACAGACAGCATATCAATAGTATATGTGGATACTATCCAGTGCAGTCCCCGAAAAGACCTAAGATATTTGTATCTATTTCTGGCAATAACAGTGATAAAACAATATCAGATACTCCAAGACCCCGAAATGAAAAAGGACCAGCTTAGTAATGATCGGACGTAATCTGGCTCATCTGATGTCAAACATTCTGGTCGACCTCTCCAACGCTTCTTTCTCCATACTTCTGACCACCTCCCCGCTCATTGCGCCATGTACATATGCTTCTCCAACTAGCTCATAGGTATCTTTCCCTAGAGGATGCAAAATAACCGGAACACTGCATCCGAACAGAATACAGACTTTGTCCTTGATGGATGTATTCCTTGGGCAAATACCAAACCAGTCTTCCGTTCTTTCTGAGTCCGATTTCCCGTCTTGTTCAGACGTGTGGTTGCGCCCTTGTTGCTCCGAGAGTGTGACCGTCGGAAAGCGGGTACGGTCGAGGGGATACATGCGGTCACGATGTGATGTCGCATGAGAGATTCCGCTACGCATGATCTCCTCTATTTCAATGGGATATGTAGGGAAGAAGGTCGTCTCTCGAGGCTAGACTGATAGGTTGAGTGGTCAAGTTGAACGCCAAAAGGAAATTCTCGGGTAATGAGTGATGATAGAAACGATTTGGAGAGGTCAAAATGTGGGTGATGTCGTCTGGACTATAAACCAGGTCTGTAGTGTAGGGAGATGGTGCAGTACGGCCGATTGGCATGCTTGGAAGAGTGACAGCGAGGTACCGGTGTGAGTTTGGCTCATGTTTTTAAGTAGGTCAAGTACCAAGCTATGATGGGATGGTTTTGAGGACTTGGCATAAGGGTTCCACAGGTGGGATATTCAAGTTTGGGGGGGGGGGGGGGGCTGCTCGATCTTGGTAGATCCTGAGGTCTATTGAGCAGCATCAGGTGACTGACACATGACCAGACATAATATTATGTTGTGGGAATGGAAGAGCTACGGTATACTCTTCCTGAATTTTGGCTTTTCTTTTGCCAACATCAATAAGCATCTACAACGAATCAAGCCTCAGAGACAATTACTGATCATTCAATGACGTCAAAAGCTATCCATGACTGACCCCATCTAATCTCCTCTATGTAACATCAAACATATAAATCAATCATTCTGTCTGTCTATCTCACGTAATACCCAGAACCCAAACGCCAGAGACAAGCACTCTATCAAAACAGCCAATCTATCTCTCCAGCCACCCAGCCACAGCCTGATCATGACTCGCAGATTCGTCTGCCCATCTGCTCGTACATTGCCCTCCTCCATGTCGCGAAGAGTATCTTCCACGTATGGTCCCGCATTGCTAACCTCCATAATCCGCGCGATTGCACGATGAACAGCGAGCAACTGAGGAGACGGCAGGTCAATGGTACTACTATAGTCCGAGTCGAAGGTTAGGGTGCGGACGACCGGAAACAAAGGATCATCATGTAGAGAGGACGAAGTCGGCGCTGTTGACTGGATCTTAAACTCGTAAGGGAAATTACCAGTAGGTTCAAAATATATCTGAAATGCGTTGAATAGTCGACGGTAATGATGCGTCATGGTTAGAGCGTTGACGAGGGTATCGAGCTTCCCGTTTTCGATGAAACGGGTCATCGTGGGATCTAATATATCCAAAAGCTGGAGAGTAGCATTCTGCGAGTTACTCTGTAAGGCTTCGTCAATATGTAGTACGGGTAAGCGTAGATTAGCTTTACCAGTTCCGCGTTATCAGCGGTGATGGTCGCCAGAGAGCGAGGTAGTATGTGGGCGATTTCCATGGGCTCAAACTGGTCTGTAGGTTCAGTGCGGAGAAGGGTTTCGTCGTTATCCATGTAATCCGCACAGTCTTGTGGTTCGGCCTCAGCAAGTATGTGAGAAATCACACACTGCTGATTGTCACGTAACAGGCAGCTTGCTCCCACAGCATATAGTTGTCGTATTAAGCTCTCTGTTGTAGGGGATTGCGAAGAAGGTTGAGCTGGATGTGTGGCCTGTGGCATGTCGAGCGATAAAACCCTGACTGTTGATATCGCCTGAATCAGTACTTGAGCTTGAACAATGGTATCAAATCCCGGATAGTGAAGAACGAACGTGGGAGAAGCAGGTGTTGAATGATATGCTCCGCAAAGTCCTCGATGGCGTTCTTGGCGTTTTCCAGCTTGTCTTGACTCCATGATTCGAGGTCGTCAAAGTAGCGCAAATAGACTGTGATATCGGAGGCGCATGTTCCAGCTGTCTGGGAGCACAGAAGATGGCATATGAATGAGAAGAAAAGCATCAAGAATGAATCTCCGCATAAAGAGTAGTCATAGAAAGCCAGAGCAAGAGAAGCAGGTTTGTACCCGTACTCTGAAGTCTGCCCCGGGCCGTAGAGCTGGATGAGCGCAAGGAATATGGTAAGCGCTGACTGGCGTTGGTCAGCCAGTAATCTAGGTTGCTGTGACATGTCTGACGCGGATCCAGGTGGTATGAGGTGGTGTATATAGTGTAACAGTGTTTTCCTCGCTGTTCGTTTGCGATACCTTGGAGGGGGATGGTGGCACAGGTTTGACATTGGACAGTACTGATGCTCGAGTCACGTGGACCAATGCAAGTCATTTCAGGCCATCGAAGATTCAATAAGATTCGACTGATTGTGCTGGTGATACTGGATGGGAATGAGAGTATTTGTGGTTGATATGAGTGCAACAGGAGTGGGTTGATACCTGGAGTATGGCCGGTGCACACGCTGTGTGTTTCATGACGTCTTGAGAGATTGTAAGCCCTTTTTCAGGTGGTAGTCGTTGATGTTGTACTTTTTAGCGTTGCGGGTGTGCAAACATATATATATAGTAGTAGTTTATAGTAAGTAGCCTTGTAGAGCCAAATAGCTCGGATAGGCCCTGTTCGGCAACCTCAAACTCCTGATTCCCTACAACAGCATTTGCTGTGAAATATCTCACAACATAGTCGTAATTGTAACCTCTACCAAAGATCTTCCAAGATTCTCTGCAAGAAGTAGCGGTGTTTCTTGCACTTCGTATATATAGTAAGTTAGTATGTGAACACTGCAGTATCCGTACATCTCGAACAATGAGCTACCCAAAACCATGAACAATCCAGCCCACTGCTGTGCCCTACTTTGCGGACGAGCTCCTCATAAGGTTCCGTACACTTAGCATCTCCCAACTTCCACCAGAGAGCTGAAAATCGAATCAATTCCAATAGGATCATGAACACTTCCATGTGTACGCGAAGCAACGTTGATGGCTTGCCCACCCAAACTGGTGTTCTCATCAATACACCCGCGTTGGTATTGGAAGGAGCATGGTGGGCGACTGAGATTAAAAAAAGGGTCTTTTGGGATCAGGAGAGCTATATAGAATGGTGTAAGATACATATTTGAGTCTGCCTCGGGAGCTTGGCCTATTTATACCCAGAATACTACGCTCTATAGTTGGTTATTACACGGCTATTGCCTAGAACTACCAGGTTTACAGAGTGAACCAATAACTTTGCTCAGTTATGTGCATGTGGATAAGCCCGAATGTCGATGAGAAAACTCCGGATTTGCAAAAATAAGAAGGACAGAACATAAGAGAGAGAAGGAAGAAGAAGAGGAAAGAAAAGATGGAGAAGAAATACAAAGATACTATTGTATGAAGGTCGTGATTCTGGAGTATCCCGACAATCGAGCATGGAAGTTCCCCAAGGTAGCAACTATCGTCTCTCGCTTGACTAGCAGAAACACCGAACTTTGGCATATGTTACCATATGATCTTTTACACAGGATCATATCTGGCAAGTAGGATGTGTTAATAAGCCATTTGAACGAAAATCCGAGACCTGTTGGGCCGAAAGAATATGGCTAGTGAACGATAACAAAAGAATTTACAGTACACTTCACCACCCGAGAGTACCGGCGAGTGGCCTCGACATATAGCCAATGAACAGATAGATGAAAATAAGTGGGATCTGCGACATGCATGAACTCATGCATACTAGTCAAGCACTGCATGTCCATATCCCCGCCACGGGACGGGGCGTACCATGATGCTTGCGCAAGGCTGCTGGAAGATCACCTTGACCTTCTACGTAGGTGTGCTGTGTCTGCTTCCAAATGGTCTGCGCATTTATCTGTGGCATAAACGGACTTTGTCTCGACCTTGACGTTGACGAGACCCTGGCCTCAGAGTACCAGGAGTTTGTTAATTGGTGCAAATCAGCGTCAGCAAGTGGAAGGGAGCAATTTTCTCCAAGATACCTGAATAACATGGGCCGCTCATTGAACCGCCGATTTTTTGCAACAGCCAATGGATTGATTGGAATGGGCGTGCCAAACACTCGGGCTGGTGACTATCTCTGCATTCTTTCTGGAAGCTCTGGATGCTTTGTAATGAGACAGGAAGGCTCTCATTGGAAGATTATTGGAGATGCATATTCTCGCAGGCTTATGAAGGTGAGTCCCGCCTCCCAATATAGGAAGTCTGTACTGATGAAATCTACAGAGGGTCTACGTGGACGAAATCTTAAATCGAAACGAGTGGGAGGAACGAAGTCAATGGTTCGATATCTGGTAGCTCGTTAACAAAGAAGCAACGGTCGATAACCGTTCTCTTAGACTTGACAAGCCCTTCGCTTGACCCGGGGTCTCCTCATCACTCAGACGTAAGGTTAGTTGAAAATTTAGTTTGAACAGCTTCGTGTCTTATATATAGGCTGCTTGGCGCGAAAGAGAGAAAGGCACATAGCTTAGATCCAAAAAAGAATAGCTAACGAAAAGCAATAATAGTTCCCACCAGCGAGGAAGTCAACCACACAGCTGTGAGGACACCAAGTATTGGGGGGCAGAACCTAAACACAGCTTGTTAGTCGATATGGACAACATTTGACATTCTGCATGCGGGAAATACGTACTCTTCAGAACTCAGACCGATAAACCCACCCCAGAAGAGCAACTGTGCAATCCAAAGAAGAAGCAAGAAAATGGTAGTGGCCGCATACAATTCCGCAAGCCGTGGCTTGTGGGGTAGCGAGATCAGGCGAGGCTTGACGAGGAGAGGGTCATAGCTCGTGCGATTGCTTTGATCCCTTATTAATGGTGCTTCTTCCGGGGCCCTTGGCCTTCCGGTCGCGGGATGAAACATCCTTCCCGTTCGTATGTTGTGATATTCTATTATTGGCGGCATTCCTTCTTCGGAAATATCCAGAGACGTGAAAACGGATCCACGAGACTTTTCCATCTTGCGCATCGCACGAATTGATACAGCAAATGCCATGATAACGGTGAAAAGCCACATGAGTGCTCCGGCGTACATGATTTTCGCAGGTACCCATATTTCTACAGTGCCGAGGTAGAAGTTGTGTTCATAGCCATAATAGACTGTCACGAGGAAGTAATATGCGGATAGGAACTGAAGAAGTATTTCCGCAAATAACAGAGACGCAGCCGCGGACAGGCTCTTTGGCCCAAATTGTTGTAGACCGAGTAAGAACATCGCCAGCCATGAAAGGCGAGGCATTGAACTCCAGAGAAGCAGCAGTTGGATTATGGGAACCTCTTCATAGCCCGGAACTTTCTGGACCAGCACAGAACAGACCAAGTTAGCAAAGATCTGGACAGTGGCAAGGAGGATGCCCTTGAAAGCCCAATATATCGGCTGTGAGTGTTCTACTGAATTGATGTTTTTGCTTTGAAGCATGCGTTTCCTCTGACAGAGAAGCAATGCGATGAAAGTAGCTTTGTTTACAATAGCAAAGCTTCCAAATTTCCACTGATTCGAGGGACATGCTTCGGTTGCTTCGATGTCTCCAGGCTGAGTATTAGGGGTAATATCTGGTGCCTTGGAGGGCTTAAGAGCCCATTGCCATGGTATCATCTCGGTCAAGGTGGGCGCAGATAGCTGACGCCAGTTATTTGGTAGACCGTGCCAGTCCTGAATACCACCACAAAGATCGTGAAGCCATCTGATATAGTCTATTCGGGTTTCGAATATCTGGCACGAACCCTCACAGGAATCATAGCTGATATGCTGGCAAAAGCATTTCCTGTCAACTGCACGTGTGACTTGGCAGTATCCGCTAGAATCGAGCTTACACGCATCGGCTGCACATTGATCTGTAAGATCAGTGACCTCCTTTGGCATATCTGCGCCGCATTTGGGCCAACGCCAATTGTCGAGAGGTATAAACGCGAATTGTGTGGTCATAAGTGCATCCGTCCAGTTATCGGGTAAGGACTTTGATCCACAGGTTGCATTGAGCCACAGGCGCTGTTTCGTCCAGTCCAAGCGTTCGGAATCCGAACAAGGCTCCTCTTCAAAATCTACAGCGAAGGCGCTGCAGAAGCAACCCTTGTCAAAGTAGTAGCCATCCTTTATGTGCTGCTGGACAAGGTCATAGCCAACTGTCTCTGAATCAAGAGCGATCATGGATCGCACGGGCTCGTTATATTCCCAGGGCCGAGCAGCATTTCCTGTGTGATGACTTGCGCTTGTAAAGCCACAGGAAGCCATTACCTGCTGGAAAGGCTCCCTTGAAAATGAACAGACTGAGCCGGTAAGGCATCCTGGCGCCGCCTTGAGAACGTCCACAGTTGAGTACCCCTCGGCTAGTGAGGCTGGGGAAAGGTTCTGGAGCTCATTTGTGTCGCCGACCTCGACAAGCCACTCTCTACCCGTGATGTCACGAATCCATGAATACAATTGCGCTTTGGCGAGTATCGATCTGCCACAGTAGGGGAGATACCTTGCAATAACATCTGGGGAGAATGCAACGCTGAGACAGCCGAGATGAGTCAACCATTGGTGATGGGTGCAAATGAAGCCGAAATGGGAAGTGCACCGTTTGGCAGTACATTTCGTCATAGTATCGAGCCAGGTGGACTGGTCTTGCTGCGCTACGCATTGTGGCATGGGCTTGAGATCTTCAGGATTTACCCAACCATTAAAGTTGTTTTGAGGAGTTAGGAATTGATCATGTCCGTCATGATCGAGAGCGGCGGTTGAGAGCGCTTGTGCAGTACGTCCTCATATTAGTGACAAAGATGTGAAAAGATGTTGGGAGCACTTACCTTCAACGTCGGCACTATATACGCTAACAGCCAGTAGCACAAAAAGCGCACAGTATAACCTCATCTTATCGATATTAAGGCGATCTTGTATTTTGACACAGCGCGGGATGGCAACCATCTGGAATTTGAAAGATGCAGCTATGGAGTGATACTTCGGAGCGGGGTAACACGAGGCTGCGAGTCGGATCAATATCAGACCGATCAAAGCCAACTCACCGGACAGGGATGCTTTTGTTGGCTGGCGATGCAGGGCGGTTATTTGAAGTTGGGTAAGAGTGAATCATGATTTGTCTAGAGTCAAGTTACAAAGCGCAAAGGGCCGAGTTTTGGCAGCTTCGCGGCTGTCATTCCCCATCTGCTGAAGGGATATAGAGCAACCTCGACAATAGTCTTCCCAAACTATTCTAACGTCAGTATAGAAGAGGGGTACAGTTATCGATTAATGTTTCAAATAGAACAAGAGGTACTATGTCCATCCCCTCACACCACGAGGAGAAGCGTTCATTACCTTAAGCATTATTAGAAGCATTGTGGCTCAAGTCACCCAGTTTGCCCACCGCTGGAATATATAAGGATAAAGCTGCGCCCTACTATGGCGTAGGCAACTAAATCATCATTTTCCGTAGGCCGATATCATTATTGCAACCAATCTTTTAAATTCACTAGGCTCCTTTTTCACAGGGGTAGGTAGCTTCCTGGTTGCTTTCCAGATTAATATTTCAACAAAGACCTTTCCGTTTTTCCTTTTTTTTCCCCTTCCTTTCCTTTCATTGTCAATAGCAATCAGTATAGAGTCTCTCGCGGACCCACACATGCAACGGACCAAACTCACGACCCTATAACCTTGCCTTCGCCAGCAGCGAATCCGAGAACATCGCTATGGAAAACGCCATCGTAGCTTCGAAGTCACTTGACCAAATAAACTCGGTATTGTCTGAGACAAGATCGACCTCGTCGGCCACCACGTGAATCTTGCTCAGTCCAAGCTGGGAAACTAGATAGATCGAAAAAGAGTTCTTGATCCTGCAGAACCTTCCTAAACAGGAAGGTTCTGCGCGGGAACGGGCGCTGCCTGCAGAATTTGCAGCTAAGCAAAACTATGCACACAAACACGTGGAGTCGGCAGTGTGGCCTTTAAATAAACTTTTTGCCCGAATGAATCATGCAAGCCTGGCGTATGCGAAACCCCACAATACAAGATCCCCGCTTACAGTACCCAGGCCGCGAGGTATTGCGCTCAAAAAGCGATTCTTGTGCGGTGATATACAAGGGGAAGGCTTCTAGATTGCATATACCAGTCCGTGAAGCACTGACAGCCACAGTGAGATGGTGGGCTGAAAAAATGAGGAACGTATCTGCGCGATGCCAACTGCATGGGAGTCATGTGCTTCCCGAATAATCCTCCTGGGTACTATTTATCACAGAGTCGGCAATGACTACACTGAGGGGCAAGTTGTCCTGCGTTGTGAACGCGGCAAATACTGGTGAGCAATTCACCACTCGCATTATCCTCTTGTGTACTCGAATGGCATGTTATAGAACGCTATGACGTAAAGCTAGCCCAGATATATCAAGCCACTAGAGATCTGCAAGCAGCTATCGAGAGAGCATTGGTAGAGGAAGTACTCTCCCGAACCAATAGGGTCGTGATCGCAGCGGTTCGTGGCGGTGGAGCAGCTAGCGTGAAGCTTCAGTCCCTCTCGGTCTTCGTCACAGTTGATCGGATAGAGATAACGCTGCCTCAGTGGCTCTTGAATAGCTCAAAGCAAGTATGAGATTTGCCCTGTGATTCTCTTCAATGCCGGGCTACCAGTTGCAAAGTCTCCTGCAAGATACCAAAACGGGTTATGATGAAGCATTTCATCGTCGACGGTATGGCAGCGCTACTGCTTGATCGGGCCATATGCACCCCTCTACGGCCAAGCGGGAAGTTAATGACCATCTCATCGCTAGCTGGATGTGCTAATATTGCGACTGATAGGCCAGAGTCGAGTCTTGTACGAGACACCCCAAAGGCCGCCCTGAACTACCTCGTCTAGCACCATGGTAGGCTTTTCAGCATTTACATCATACGCCCCCTTTGCTTCAATGGCAGTATAACGAAGAATCAAGATCCCGAACATAGCTCTTGACACCATCCTGCACGCAACGCTGGAGTTAACTTACCATATTCGGTACAAGTGATTGAAAACTCAGACTGGGTATGGCAAACTATGACGAAGATAACTAGGGAGTCTTACAGGCCACTTACCGATACAGACCCGATAGAACGTCCTAGGAAGCGGGCGAGCGGAGGCCGCGTACGGAAAACACGCAGTATAGAAAACATGAACGCTTTACACGTAGCCGTGTCTCTTAACAGCACACCATGCAGAGTGGGATGATGAGGAGCCGTTGAGAAGAAGTCAAATCTCATGGCAACGCATGAGCCACTGGTTTCGTCATTTACCTTTCCTCATTGAGTCTATGTGAATTAGCAAGGGTCACTGATTCCATGGAGGATCGGATCGAACATTATCACCCTATCCTCCCCGCTGTCCACGGCAACATCTAAGAGATATATAAAGAAGGTGTACTCGTTGGTCTTTGTTTGTTCTTTAAGAATGGCCTCCCATCTTTCCTACTCATTCTTAAGAAAGAAACATCAAAGTCATCGAATATTACGCATCTCAGGACGTTACTATTTAGTCGGATTTCGAAGAATTTGTGACCTCCACTTTCCCGTTCGAAATCTGCAGCCCGAGACGCGTACAAAAGGGCAATCAACATGGGAGATATCGGAACCCATCCTCGATGGAAAGACCCCGAGATTCAGCATCAGGTGGACCTTGCGTTGCTTGAAGACGAAGCTTCCCAACGAGAAGCGGATGAAGCTCGGAGAAAAGTCGTGCCTCTTTTGTCAAGGCTACACCGAGGCTCGGTGCTGTTTCCCAGGTCACAGGGCTACAGATACTCAGTCTCGGTTAGAAATCTCCGCTACCGTCTGAAGAGACCTGCTGCTGTTGTGCATGCAGTAACGGCATGGGATGTCGTGGCAACAGTCCGATTCTGCGTTCAAGAGGGATTGAAGTTGACCATCCGAAGTGGTGGACACTCGAACGCTGCGCACTGTTTGAACGACAATGGTATCGTTCTTGATATGCGAATGTTGAACAAAGTAGTCATCCAACCTAATCATGACATAATCTACGTGTCTGGTGGTGCGCTGTGGAGGGACGTATACAAAGAGCTGCATGATAGAGATCCTCGTCTTGTCGTCGTGGGTGGCCAGTGTCCAACTGTCGGCGTGAGTGGTTTCTTACTTGGAGGTGGTATAAGCCCCTTCTCTCGCTCGTACGGGCTGGGTATCGACAACATCGAAGCGATAGAGATCGTCAAAGCGAATGGAGAACTGTGTATCGTGAGTGCAGATAATCATCCAGATCTCTTCTAGGCACTCCGTGGCGGAGGGGGCGGTAATTTTGGCGTCGCAACCGGGTTCTTCTTGAAGGTCCATACGCTCAATCATCCCGAAGGTATGGTGACTTGTGGTACACTAGGATGGTCAGTCGAAGACACGAGGTCAAGGAAGAAATTCATTGACACCATGAAAAACTGGGATCAAACCCCTCTTCCCCCAGCGCTATGCGGCGACGCGCTTTGGCGATACCGGAGAGACCGCGAGACCAAGGAGAAAAGGCTCTGGGCAGAGATTACGATCATGTACAACGGCGGAAAGAATGATTGCGACAGCGAGTTGGCCAAGATTTTGCGTGGTAAACCAGATGTGAACACACTCAAAGAAATGAAATTCTATGACTGGGAAGTTGGAGGTGAGGCGTTTTCCAACCATTCTCAAGTCCATCAACACCACTCCTCTGTTATCATTGAAAAGGGTAGAATGACAGAACATGTTGTCAATCTCATCACCGATTGGATGATAACAAAGAAAGGACATGTGCTAGAAAGCGAAAATGGGAGGTGTCACGTTCTTTGGGATCATATTGGGGAACAAACTAGCCAAAAGAAGCCAGACGAAACAGCCTTTCCCTGGCGCACCGGGGAGTACGCACTTTCCATGAAAGCAAGCTGGGATAATGAGGATAAGGAGAAGGAAATGATTCGAGAAGTCCAAAGACTCCGGGACGAGCTAACGAAATATGCCATTGGAGGGAAAGCGGCGTATGTGAACTTCATCGACAATACATTAAGTGGCTGGTGGGATGCATATTACGATACCAACTATGAACGACTCCGGCAGGTGAAGGAAATCTATGACCCTGAAGAATTCTTCGAGTTTCAGCAGAGTATTCGAAAACCCCAGAGCGACCATCCACAAATAACTGCTGTACCATCACGCACTGCTGCAGTCCATCTGCCGGAATTGGATGAGAAGAAAGATTTCCTCGAAGATATCGAAAAGGGTACCACGCGGACTGAAAAGCCATTCCCTCAAGATGCGCCCGCTCAGTCAGTAAGCGATCTGGGATACGGCGGTCTTCACAGTGGGCGTTGTCCTGCGGTGTCTTTGAAGCGATACATCCTCGGTCTTGTTTCTAGATTAAAATCATAGGGAGCTTAAATCCTTACTTTCTAGAGCTACGCAAGGGAAATAGGTTTGAGTACTAGAGTCTCCAGTGATATCAACTGTTTTTCGATTTTCAGTGATTTATTGTTAGAATATTCTCACACCGCGCCCAGTATGTATTTAGAACGATATATAAATTTTGAAATATCATCCACATAGTAGGAGAACTTCACCTTCATGAAGTAGGCTATCGCGTTCAAACACTGTAAAAGGCCGATGACAAATAACAACGAGCATCAAACTCGACATTAATTATCGATCTTAGCACATCGATGTCAGTTCTGGATGAAGCCTGCCAAAAGCAGAGTACAGCAGTTCGGGACTTAGTAGCAGCGACATTTTCTGCCACCTCGCAGAAAGCGGTCAAAAAGTTTACAGTTTTCCAAGCACTTGTTCGCGGACTGTAAAGTCTTAAATCCGCTTAAATCCGGGGTTTTTCCAACGAGGTCGACTAGGTTCTGCCGCTTGTGGCGGTGTGTGGAGCGGTCAGAGATTAGTTTTCTGCCCAGATATAGAGTGTAGATAATAATCGAGATAGATTCTGGGAGCTCGTATTTCTCCACCCCTATCAAATATGATCTGTTTATGTACTATTGTCTTCATTTAGGGTCTTTCTGTCTTATTTTACTTTAATACTGCTAGGAACAACATGCTAATCTATATATATATCCACTAAACTCTCATCAACATTCTTCTATGCGCGTGGAATTCAGAATTAACTGGGGGGCTACAGAGACAGCGCTACCTGGGTCTACTGCCGAAGCGCCGCCCAAAGAACGATGGTGGCTTTCGTAAATATAGTTTGGTATAACCACACAATTTGAGTAGTTACATCATCTTTACTTAGGTCTGGCGCCCTTTTCAGAAGTTAAATATACTGCTTGGGCTTGCAGTTTTGTCCTCGAAGACATCACCATCCTAAATCAATCTTCATACTATATCCACACCATGAAGAACCTATATCTGGCTATTACTACCATCCTCATTCTTGCCAGCTATGCCTATGCAGGCCCCGTGGGCTACGGTATCTGTCAAGCTGGTTGCGCAGCTGTTGTAATGGCCTGTTACTCAGCGGCAGGCTATACCTGGGGTGCTACACTCGGTGCTACAGCACCTGCCTCTATAGTGGCATGTAACACGGCATTCGGGACTTGTTGTGCCCACTGCGCTGCGACGCTTTTGATACCAACACTTTGATTGTCAATAATAACGTGAAAACAAAATTGGTACTTGGGAGACTGTGAACCTACTTCTTGGTTGAAGGATTACATGTCAGATTGCGTTCCTCGTCTTGTTTTCAAATATATGTCCAATTGGCCGTCTTCAATAGTTCTTGAATAATAATATGATATAATCTACCAGACATATTTTTCAGTTAGTGCCGTACACTGACTCAAAATGAGAGCTCTGGGGAGAGAAAGAAAGTAGAAAAAGAAAACAACCCAAGATTTCCGACAAGAATGAACGTACACTATATGACGATGTCAAAATATGCAAGATCTGTGGCTATTTCCACAAATACAGAAGACACTAGTGATTATACGCCTGTAATCAGTGAACTAGGAAAATCATCAAACAATACCATAAGGCCATTATTAGTACCCGGAGATACCCGCGGACTCCCAAATTCATACAATCCCACATATATAGTGGGGTGGACATGGGAGTGAATGTCACTGCCCTTGGAAAAATTAGAGGTGTTGAGAGACCTGGCTATGGTGAATGTTCAGAAAACAGTGAATATCCTGCTTTGGCTCCGTGTAAACTCTTCTGACTTCCGTATATGTCGTTAGTCGATAGCTGCTGCTCACAGGTCAAATCATTACTTACAGCATCATTCAATCTCCAACTTCGCCTGTTATTCTTTCTCCTCCATCTACACCGCAAAGAGGTTTTGATAATACCCTGTCCCAGTGCGTTGCTAGGTGGGTGAACTGGAGCTCCTTCAAAAATCACGAAAATTAGCTTAACACTGACATTTCTTGACTAAACAAGCCGTACCAGATTTACATCTTTATCAATCCAAACAAACAGGGTCACTATGGATCAGTTGCAGGAAAACAAAAGCAGTCTCACTTTCCGGACGAGTAAACGTCTTGCCCTTCTCAAAAAAGCCTTCCAGGAGCCTGGCAATGACGAGAAGGAGCAGGTGCCACGCTGTACCTGGGCTATTTTACTGGTCTGCGAGATGGAATTCCTTGAGGAATATATATGGTTGTACGCAGCTTACGGCCACAAGTACCGTGAATCTTTTAGTGAAATGGACCTTCTGAGAGGGTGGACCAATACTGGAGAGCTATCCATGGCAAATATCTATGACGGCTCAGTGGATGAAAAGAACAACACCATAGAATCAGACAGCGACGATGATTTGAGCTCCACTATCATGGCCAAAGTCCGAGAAAGAGACGCCGACAAATGTGTTATTACATCTCACTCAACTTCTATGCTTTGTGATATCTGTCCAAGCCACCCACTTCCAGGATTTGGTTGTAATTTTTGTTGGTTCGACCTTCTCGGATGGTGGAGATTTGAGACAAGACAGAGATGGAAGCTGCCATTGTTTCCCAATCATCCACATATTGAGGCGGTAGAGACTATTCAGAATTATATCTTATTGAGTCCGGTACTGCGAAAGTATTGGGAATGGGGCGACTTTGTGCTCCGACCCCATCCAGACCATAGGGAGCGTCTCAGGGAACTTCAGGTGCAAATTTTCTGGTTACCTTTGCAGGATCATTGCTGGAGCGACAAAATCTGTGTTTTCAGCAAGCCCCCTCGCATCAGAAAGGGGACCACGGTCAAATTGGTTGGATTGGAATCGGAGGAACTCAAGGATTTGAAATCTGGGGATTGGATCACTCTGACAACTCCTGATCCGGAGAGACTGCCACTGCCGAGCTGGGATCTTCTGGAGTTGCGGTTCATTATGACGATTTTTGCTCGATTTGCGGGAAAGGGCGTGCCAGAGGAGGGATGCAACAAGGATAAATAGATTGAAAGGATTGTATTAAGGATGTTTGTCTTTTGTTGGGAATGTTTCTTGGCGGGGAAACTGTTAATGGATGGAAGGAGCGATGAGATTGAAATAGGTGGGGAAAGATGACCCATGTTAAGTATGGTGGAAGGTTTAATGCCTGAACTACACAGCCCATAGTATGGTATGCGTGTGTAACTGTATCTATAGCCAGCTAACATCCAAACACAATGCCTGAATCTCCCTCTAAAGGATCTAAGAATACATGCTTCTATCCTCCCACCTCGGCTGCAAATAACTCCAGTCCTTATCAAACTGAAAGTCTGTTTGATACAACCCGTAAGTGAACAGCTCCACAGTGTCGAGCTTTGCACCGGCATCTGTTTGCGCCCACACACTCAAGGCTAATGTATTCTGACCCCGGTTGTTGATGATTCCCGGAGGGATAGGAAACTTCGTCTGCGGACCAATGTGAGGGACATATTTTCCGTATTGATACTTTTAACATGGTAAACGAATGTCAGCATATTATCAGTGCATACTATGTAGTAAACTGAAACAAATACTTACCCCATTGACCCAAAGCATTACACGTGCTATGGTGCCATTTGGTGCTGAGAGAGAAACACCAATGGGTGCGTCTAGATCACTGTCGATATCAAGGTCGAAAGTGGTGACATAGAAGCGGACACCCGATTTTGAGATGCCGTCTAACGGACTGGAAGTACTCTTGAACCCCTTGTCATTTGAAGCCGGAAAGCCAGGGAGGAACCAGCCTAGTCGTTCAGCATAGAGGCCACCCTCATTCATGGGTCCACGGACTGGGTCGATATTCTTCGAACCGCCAGCATTACCTTGAATCTTCCATAGTTGAAACCCGGTCGCTGTTCGTGTACCTCCTGGAAGGAGGTACGCACCGAGAATACCCCTAGGATTCTCAGCACCGTTGGGGATGTCAGTTTCATCGTGGCCATGGTAGTCAACTAAGACTGTGATGACATTGTTCCTCGTCTTGAGATGGGACGCCGGAAGCGCTAAAGTCATATTGGTGGCTGATAGATCGGGGTCGCCAGGGTGGCCCCCGATGAGATGCCCGTTCAGCCATGCGTTCCATCCGAACGCAAGGCCTCCAGAGGCGGTAATGTTGACTGCGGTGTGTTCGATGCCGTCAAAGTAGCCACGGTATATTTTAGCACCGGCGTAGAAACCATAGTCGGAGCTAAACAGGACTGGCAGGGTAAGAGGTGCTATAGGACTGAGGGTACTATTCTTGTTTGCGACCGTCCATCTGGAGTCGTCAAAATCTGGCTGGATTTCAGGGAGGGATTCTGCTGAGTGCCAGTGATTCAAAGGTGGAAGTGTTACTGATCGGTTTTCTGTACCGGGTATTTGGGCTGTGTAGGAGCCATAGGGCGTCTTGGTTGCTGTGAGCAGCTGACCGTTCCATTCGATTGCCTTGATGGGCACGCTGCCGATGAAACCTTCCAACGTCGTGGTTCCGTTGTTGTCTCCAGACACTTGAAGCACTTCGTTATTGACTGATGCAGACCTGACTAGGTACGGGCCGAGGATGAAAAGCTTCTGGTCTGGTCTAGGAGACGGGTACTTTGATGTTGACGGAGCCCAGAAATGCCATGCTGTAGGTTGATCAAGCAATAGAACAATGACCCCATTTGAAAAGCGAAGGACAGTAGAACCGGTAGACTGTGTGTACCTAATCTTCTGGTAACCATGATGAAGCGTGGACGATACGGTAGACGCACCGTATACCTCGAACGTCAAGTTCTTCGACGTTCTTAGAGCAAACTCGCCTGTCTGTCCTTCCCACAGATACAGAGTTAGAACGTCGTGGCGGGGCAAGACGGCATTTGTAAGTACATCTGCTGACGAATACAGCAGAGTTTGGTTACCAAACCTATAGTCTGTAACTAGAATCTTGCTCTGGCGCCCTTCAAGCTGGATACCTGGAACAGTCACATTGCCAAGGCTGGTGTTCAAGTAGGCTGAAAAGGTGATGGTAGCGGTTGATGGAGTTTCATTCTGCTGCAGCACAGTGAAGGTTGACTGGGTATCTGGGTTCTTCAAGACCCAGCTATAAGCATCGGGTGTTGAGAGCTGCTAGTTTATTAGTATTTTGCATATAATGATCAGATGGAATCCTGACACTGTAACCCGATCCATTCCCATGCATCTTCGTCTTGAGTAAATCAAGTGCTGATCCTGAGAAGAGTTGTATCAACTTCGTTTGCCAAAGCTTGGCCCATTGCTCGCGAGTTTCTCGGAGGGGGGTCCTGTTCGTATGGTAAGCCACAGCTTCAGCAACTCAATATGAGGAGAGTTTACATATAGTCATTGCTGGTATACGCCACCGGGCAAGCAGCTGTAGAGTGTTCAATCATTAGTAGGAAATGTTGTTGGCAACAAAGCATTCCACTCACAGTGGCCCCAGTTGGTCCCCCCATAGCCTTCGTATATACTCTGTAGCGTTACGCGCTGGCCAATGTTGTTCTTGTAGTAGATGTCCACAAAGGTGGTACTGTGCTCGCTTCGACACTAAGTGACTATTAACTTTCAAGTAGACGATGTATAGCTGTGATGTTTTTGATGCTCGACTGAGTGACCACCCACATCATCATAGTTTTGCGGTGCACCCCAAGTCAAAGTACGCCCGCCCTCAAATTCGGCGAGGTATATTGGACCAGACCATGCATAATTCATGAACCACTGATAGTAAGTTCGAACTACATCAAAGCCAGTCCCTCCATCACATTTGTTCCCAACAAGGAATCCTGCAGGGTAGTCGTCAAAGCCATAAATGTCGACTGCGCCACCAACGTTTTCGTAATCCCTTGACCAGGATATATATCTCGTGCTTTGTTCGTTGTGAGTCGTAGGAACCGTTATTCCCACATCCCTAATAACTGATTCAAGCTGTTCCATATACGTAACGAGAGTATCGTTGGGTTTATGGCTGGTCTCTCGTAGCTCATTTTCTACCTGGAAGAGTATGACGGGCTATACGCTACAGGTTAGCATGCCACACTCTAGCCACCAGGGAAACGGCTGTACACATACGCCACCCTTTGTGATTTGGTTCGCTGCAATTATTTGTCCGACTTTCCTCATATATGGAAGCCATGCTTTATGGTAGGCCTCATCTGATGTCCGCAGCTTTCCCATAGAGCCATCGGAGCCCCATAGAGCTAAACCGCCCGCATTTGTTTGTGCCTTTTTGGGATCTATCAGTCAGTCTGTTCTATGTAATATCGGGTTTTGATCGATTATGGCTGCTTACGTTGACATAAGGACCCGGTCGGGCAATTACCCATAGGCCTGTCTCCTTGGCCATATCGAAAAGACGCTGTATGTTATGTGCCCCAGTTTCAAAATCATATGCATCCCTGGAGGCAGAATGATAACTCCAGAAGAAGTAAACACTATAGCTGAGGTTATTTGGATGTCCAGCCAGTAGAGAAGCAAATCACTGACCTAATTGTGTTGAAGCCATTCGCCTTGAGCTTTTGCAGCACATCCTGGATTGACGAAGCCTCAGTCTTCGAACCTGACCGAATGAAAGGAATAATGCTGACTCACCAGCCACATTTCAGGGACGGGCAGTCTCTGGTAGTGAAATTCAGCAGCACTTATGAAAGTGATTAGCCACTCGTGGAATCAGTACCGCGCACAATCCACATACTTGATGAAAACCCTTTCCCCATTGACTATCAAGCTATATTCGTCCCATGTCACAGCCCCATTTAAGCTGTTCGATACTGACAACGCCTGGCATAAGGTTGCTAAAGCGACCACGAGTTTCAGCAGCGCTAGGAGCCTCATCCTGGCCAAACATGTATACAGAGACTTTGTTAACTGATGAAACTGAAGTCCCAAAACAGTATGAAGCGGATCACGATGCCTTCCTTATCTTAAATATGAGATCCCAACAGCGAAGTTCAGTGCTTCAGAAATAACCCGATATTGTCATGCGTAGATAGACTTCTCCACTTTTATGCATGGTAAGCAGAGACCCTGCAGATGGGATGAACACATTTCCACCAATTGAGCATTCAATAAGTTGCGGACCCCGCACGATCTGCAGTGTGTTAGTGAGAGTTCAAGCTTGTGGAGGTTCAGGGTCCTGTAGGGCAGGAGACAGTATATGAAATTAATGCACAAACAATATTGTAGCCTAATGGTATGTGTCAACAGACTCGGTGTAGAGGAGACCGAAAGTTTCTGTTATGTTGCGTAAGTCATGACAGTCTTGCGTACAATGCACTTTGTGAAAGCCTGCAGTAGACATGTTCAGATCTCTTAAATGATCATTAATAGTCTTACTAATGTCCATTCTCCCAGTCTTTCTCAACAATTCAGAATGGACACTCACAACAGCCTTTCCATCTGCTCTCACTCGAAGCAATGCGCGGTTGTAGCCAAAGATGATGCTTCTCTCGACGACATCCTAGTCATCCTTCAAGCTTATAAATGGTGCTAAGAACGGCAATACCGTCATCAAGAACACGACATATCAAGCCAACCGTGTGCTCATCACCACCAATCGCTCTGCTTATCGAGTTGATATGCATAGCACTCTAATTGTGCTCATCACAGAGTATGCCCCATTCGTCTGCTTATTCATGTTCTTTCTCTTCAAGAGACGAAAGTGTGATAAATCTATGAAGCTGATTCTTCAAATCAAACCGCACCGTCTATGGGATTAGTTGTGTTCATCTCTTACTCACGGGGAGCCCGACCGCAGCATCTATGCCACCCTCTACCCCTGTTGATGCCTGGCAATATGCTCACAGAGAGACTGAGACGCCGCTGGTCCAGTGCACAGATGATCGGTGTGCCAATACCCGTATCGACGATGTTCACATAGAAAAAGGCAGAAGATGCGCTTGTAAGCGAGATCAAATGTTCTTGCGCTGATGTGAATGATCCTGTTGAAGCCATGCCATAGAATGGAGTATCTTTTGTATGCAATTGGTCCAATAAGACTCAGAATTGAAAAGAGT